TAATTCATCTCCGTTAGGCCTAGTTCATCTCCCGTTAGGCCTAGCTCATCTCCTGTTAGGCCTAGTTCGTCTCCCATTAGGCCTAGCTCATCTCCCGTTAGGCCTAGTTTATCTCCCGTTAGGCCTAGCTCATCTCCCGTTAGGCCTAGTTTATCTCCCGTTAGGCCTAACTCATCTCCCGTTAGGCCTAGTTCATCTCCCGTCACCTCACTCTTATCAGGGGAAGAGGAGGCGATGACCTGACAGATTTGAAATTGAAATTGAAATTGAAGGAGGGGTGTTAATGTTGCAGTTTAAAAACTGTAGTGTAAAGCACCCTTCTGGCAAGACAGTGATGGAGTGAATGATGGTGAAAGTTTTTCTTTTTCGGGCCACCCTGCCTGGTGGGATCGGCCGGTGTGATAATAATAAAATAAGATGTTTATTTCTCTGTTAAGATCAGAATGATGGTATTACATATTATAACATATTAATTACCAGGAAGCCACTAGCATGCCTAGGCATTTCGGGCAGTAAGTTACAGAATAATGTGGAAAAGCGGTAGATAGAGAAGAATCACATCTATCAGCTGATCTATTGCAAGATGGAATAACTTTACCTAAGTTATTAATACACCCAGACACTCGGGCTTTACATAATACTTACTACATTATTATACAAGTCAACTATGGTAGTTGTCACACTGTACTGTCACGAACTGCTGTCATAGAGAAAGATTTCTATCCTCATGCAGCTCCTGCGTTGTGAAGATCACCAGTTTACGACTGTGTTGCAATATATATGTCGTGGTGATTAGGTAAAACTGGTCAGTTAGCAAGAACTTATTTAAATTAAGTCCTTTCTAAAACTTTCTCTTATACTTTAAAAGATATATATTTTTCATTAATGTTAATGTATAAATTAATACTTTTGTACCAAAAGAACCTTAGAAAACTTACCTAACTTTATTTTAACACGCAATATTATTTAGCCTAATCCAACTAAATACCTTTTAGATAAGTTTACAATGAACAAACACAATGAAATAGATTTTTTCATTAGGTTCAAAATGATTTTTGCGAAATTATTGCATACACAAATTTAAGCTTGCCTTATTCGGCAAGGAGAACGTTGCTATTTAAGCCAAAATCGCAAGTTTTACCTATTTGGCACGAACGAGTGGTATTTAATCAATAACAACACTGCGACTAGCCAGGGAGTCTAGCTAAAATTCCACGACATTCTAACCCACGAAACCATACAATCCTACAGGAATCACGCACCCAGCAGAGCTAGGTGTTGTATCGTGATCCGAGGACATACGACAGTGTGATTGTCTCAGAGCTAATTTCATTCTACTCCCCGTTTGGTGTACTAGCATCCACAAGCAGTATATATCATATTGTAACCACGAACGAGTAGTATTAAATCAATAACGGCACTGCGACTAGCCTCAAGGATACATTAATAGTACTAAGGTGTATTATACACAACATGATACTTGAGGGATATATTACAAATACCTGTGTGTTTTTCTTAAAAAGCAAATTATAAATATCTGACGCAGCTGCTGTGAGTTGGGGATACAAGACTCACCACCTCTGTAAAGTGCAGCTCTCAGACCCTGGAACATATTATTTTAACTTAAATAGCAACCAGGGTCAATGTATATAGTTAAGAATACATCGTTCAGGAGAACGTCCGAGGATGTGGTTACTAGAAATAAGCAATGATCAAGCAGGTTATGATAGCTGTGTGCTGTCAGGATGCTAGCAGCATCAGCTGCTTGATCAAGCGGCCAATTCAAGTGTTGTAGGTGAAAGACTGAATCAAGAGAGTGATAATATAGAGATAGCATGTGAACGTTTTTAGGAAATTGGAAAAAAAATCTCAAGGTAAATAATATATATTATGGTCATGGGGCAGCGATGAACGCACAGACGTTGTACTAGGTTGGGGAGCGGTGGGAAAATAGGTTCTATCTGACGAATTAGAGGTTCATTCCATTTCTCTGGATCAGGTGTCCTTCACCAGCATCAATATTCCCACCTGAAGGGTTCAGAAGATAATACCTCACCTGTATCATTAGCAGAAGTAGGTGTAGTGTGGAAGGCTTGGCGTGGCACCTGTCTCTTCAGCCTGGCTCCCACCTCGGTCACCACGGTCCTGCTATGACAACAAAAAAATCGTTATGTAGAGTATTGCTGTTGTTGTGATCGCTGTTGCTGTTGAAAATGTTGCTGTTGTTATTATTGATGTTATTGTTGCTGTATATGTCGTTGATGTTGTTTACATGGTTTTATGTTATTGTTGTTACTGTTGCTATTACACGGGTCAACATCCAAAATGCTTCCGAGACCAGAGTAGCAATTTCCAACTAATTTTAGGTCACTGATAATGAATATCATGGTTAATATTGTTTCTTGGCTCTGCTTCTCATTATACACCTACGTGTCACAACAGGTTCCAACAGGCTTGTGGCAGTGTGTTTCTTACCACACTCACAGTCTGACTGACCCTCATTATTGTTCCAGCAGTCATAGAAGGTCTAAGTTTATATTTTGAGGTATAAGGTAGGTGATTTTCTTAGGCAACACTTTTTAAACTTATAATAAATATTCACTGAGCAAGCTATAGATATGCATGTGATGCATGCAAGAGGTTCCCAGTACATCAGGAGAGACTGGCCACCTCGTCAATCATTGGAGTCTGGGATGAAAAATGTTCAACATTCACCTCTCATTCAACCAAACAAAATTTTACTACCAACACTACACTGAACTGAGGCTCATGAAAACTTTGTAAAAGCTGTGGACAAATCCGGTCAGGGATTCAAGTATTTAACATCAAAATTCCCCCTCACTGAGCGACGCTAAGATAAGAGAAGGAGTCTTCACTGGTCCTCAGATTCAAGAGCTTCTTGAAGATGGTGCCTTTGAATCAGACCTTCATGGGGAGGAGAAAGCTGCTTGGGAAACATTCAAGATAGTGGCGGAGGGATTTCTGGTAAACAGAAGGGAAGGTAACTATGAAGAATTGGTGGAAGACCTCATCAAGGTTTACAAGATCATGGGCTGTAACATGTTACTTTAAATCCACTTTTTGGACTCACATTTAGAATTTTTTTCCAGTGAACTGTTGGGCAGTAAGTGACGAACATGGTGGGAGGTTTCACCAAGATATTTCAACCATGAAAAAATGGTACCATGGCAAATGGAACACAAGAATGCTTGCAGACTATTGCTGAACATTGGCAAGAGACGATTCTTCAGCCCACTATAAGCGTCAAGCAAAAAGGCAGAGAGTAGGTACGGCAGAGAGTAGGTACGGCAGAGAGTAGGTACGGCAGAGAGTAGGTACGGCAGAGAGTAGGTACGGCAGAGAGTAGGTACGGCAGAGAGTAGGTGCGGCAGAGAGTAGGTACGGCAGAGAGTAGGTACGGCAGAGAGTAGGTACGGCAGAGAGTAGGTGCGGCAGAGAGTAGGTACAGCAGAGAGTAGGTACAGCAGAGAGTAGGTACGGCAGAGAGTAGGTACGGCAGAGAGTAGGTACGGCAGAGAGTAGGTACGGCAGAGAGTAGGTACGGCAGAGAGTAGGTGCGGCGAGAGTAGGTACGGCAGAGAGTAGGTACGGCAGAGAGTAGGTGCGGCAGAGAGTAGGTACGGCAGAGAGTAGGTACGGCAGAGAGTAGGTACGGCAGAGAGTAGGTACAGCAGAGAGTAGGTACAGCAGAGAGTAGGTACGGCAGAGAGTAGGTACGACAGAGAGTAGGTACGGCAGAGAGTAGGTACGGCAGAGAGTAGGTACGGCAGAGAGTAGGTACGGCAGAGAGTAGGTACGGCAGAGAGTAAGTACGGCAGAGAGTAGGTACGGCAGAGAGTAGGTACAGCAGAGAGTAGGTACAGCAGAGAGTAGGTACGGCAGAGAGTAGGTACAGCAGAGAGTAGGTACGGCAGAGAGTAGGTACGGCAGAGAGTAGGTACAGCAGAGAGTAGGTACAGCAGAGAGTAGGTACGGCAGAGAGTAGGTACAGCAGAGAGTAGGTACGGCAGAGAGTAGGTACGGCAGAGAGTAGGTACAGCAGAGAGTAGGTAGAGCAGAGAGTAGGTACAGCAGAGAGTGGGTACAGCAGAGAGTAGGTACGGCAGAGAGTAGGTACGGCAGAGAGTAGGTACGGCAGAGAGTAGGTACGGCAGAGAGTAGGTACGGCAGAGAGTAGGTACGGCAGAGAGTAGGTACGGCAGAGAGTAGGTAGAGCAGAGAGTAGGTACGGCAGAGAGTGGGTGCGGCAGAGAGTAGGTACGGCAGAGAGTAGGCACGGCAGAGAGTAGGTACGGCAGAGAGTAGGTACGGCAGAGAGTAGGTACGGCAGAGAGTAGGTACGGCAGAGAGTAGGTACGGCAGAGAGTAGGTACGGCAGAGAGTAGGTACGGCAGAGAGTAGGTACGGCAGAGAGTAGGTACGGCAGAGAGTAGGTACGGCAGAGAGTAGGTACGGCAGAGAGTAGGTACAGCAGAGAGTAGGTACAGCAGAGAGTAGGTACGGCAGAGAGTAGGTACGGCAGAGAGTAGGTACGGCAGAGAGTAGGTACAGCAGAGAGTAGGTACGGCAGAGAGTAGGTGCGGCAGAGAGTAGGTACGGCAGAGAGTAGGTACAGCAGAGAGTAGGTACGGCAGAGAGTAGGTACGGCAGAGAGTAGGTACGGCAGAGAGTAGGTACGGCAGAGAGTAGGTACGGCAGAGAGTAGGTACAGCAGAGAGTAGGTACAGCAGAGAGTAGGTACGGCAGAGAGTAGGTACGGCAGAGAGTAGGTACGGCAGAGAGTAGGTACGGCAGAGAGTAGGTACGGCAGAGAGTAGGTACGGCAGAGAGTAGGTACAGCAGAGAGTAGGTACGGCAGAGAGTAGGTACAGCAGAGAGTAGGTGCGGCAGAGAGTAGGTGCGGCAGAGAGTAGGTACAGCAGAGAGTAGGTGCGGCAGAGAGTAGGTACGGCAGAGAGTAGGTGCGGCAGAGAGTAGGTACGGCAGAGAGTAGGTACGGCAGAGAGTAGGTACACCAGAGAGTAGGTACAGCAGAGAGTAGGTACGGCAGAGAGTAGGTACAGCAGAGAGTAGGTACACCAGAGAGTAGGTACAGCAGAGAGTAGGTACAGCAGAGAGTAGGTACACCAGAGAGTAGGTACGGCAGAGAGTAGGTACGGCAGAGAGTAGGTACAGCAGAGAGTAGGTACGGCAGAGAGTAGGTACGGCAGAGAGTAGGTACAGCAGAGAGTAGGTACGGCAGAGAGTAGGTACAGCAGAGAGTAGGTACGGCAGAGAGTAGGTACAGCAGAGAGTAGGTACGGCAGAGAGTAGGTACGGCAGAGAGTAGGTACGGCAGAGAGTAGGTACAGCAGAGAGTAGGTACGGCAGAGAGTAGGTACAGCAGAGAGTAGGTACGGCAGAGAGTAGGTACGGCAGAGAGTAGGTACGGCAGAGAGTAGGTACAGCAGAGAGTAGGTACGGCAGAGAGTAGGTACAGCAGAGAGTAGGTACAGCAGAGAGTAGGTACGGCAGAGAGTAGGTACGGCAGAGAGTAGGTACGGCAGAGAGTAGGTACAGCAGAGAGTAGGTACGGCAGAGAGTAGGTACGGCAGAGAGTAGGTACGGCAGAGAGTAGGTACAGCAGAGAGTAGGTACAGCAGAGAAGTAGGTACGGCAGAGAGTAGGTACGGCAGAGAGTAGGTACAGCAGAGAGAAGGTACAGCAGAGAGTAGGTACGGCAGAGAGTAGGTACGGCAGAGAGTAGGTACAGCAGAGAGTAGGTACAGCAGAGAGTAGGTGCGGCAGAGAGTAGGTACAGCAGAGAGTAGGTACGGCAGAGAGTAGGTACAGCAGAGAGTAGGTACGGCAGAGAGTAGGTACAGCAGAGAGTAGGATACGGCAGAGAGTAGGTACAGCAGAGAGTAGGTACAGCAGAGAGTAGGTACGGCAGAGAGTAGGTACAGCAGAGAGTAGGTACGGCAGAGAGTAGGTACAGCAGAGAGTAGGTACGGCAGAGAGTAGGTACAGCAGAGAGTAGGTACAGCAGAGAGTAGGTACGGCAGAGAGTAGGTACGGCAGAGAGTAGGTACAGCAGAGAGTAGGTACGGCAGAGAGTAGGTACGGCAGAGAGTAGGTACGGCAGAGAGTAGGTACAGCAGAGAGTAGGTACAGCAGAGAGTAGGTACGGCAGAGAGTAGGTACGGCAGAGAGTAGGTACGGCAGAGAGTAGGTACGGCAGAGAGTAGGTACAGCAGAGAGTAGGTACAGCAGAGAGTAGGTACGGCAGAGAGTAGGTACGGCAGAGAGTAGGTACGGCAGAGAGTAGGTACGGCAGAGAGTAGGTACAGCAGAGAGTAGGTACAGCAGAGAGTAGGTACGGCAGAGAGTAGGTACGGCAGAGAGTAGGTACGGCAGAGAGTAGGTACGGCAGAGAGTAGGTACAGCAGAGAGTAGGTACAGCAGAGAGTAGGTACGGCAGAGAGTAGGTACGGCAGAGAGTAGGTACGGCAGAGAGTAGGTACGGCAGAGAGTAGGTACAGCAGAGAGTAGGTACAGCAGAGAGTAGGTACGGCAGAGAGTAGGTACAGCAGAGATAGGTACAGCAGAGAGTAGGTACGGCAGAGAGTAGGTACGGCAGAGAGTAGGTACGGCAGAGAGTAGGTACGGCAGAGAGTAGGTACAGCAGAGAGTAGGTACGGCAGAGAGTAGGTACGGCAGAGAGTAGGTACGGCAGAGAGTAGGTACAGCAGAGAGTAGGTACGGCAGAGAGTAGGTACAGCAGAGAGTAGGTACAGCAGAGAGTAGGTACGGCAGAGAGTAGGTACAGCAGAGAGTAGGTACGGCAGAGAGTAGGTACGGCAGAGAGTAGGTACGGCAGAGAGTAGGTACGGCAGAGAGTAGGTACGGCAGAGAGTAGGTACAGCAGAGAGTAGGTACGGCAGAGAGTAGGTACAGCAGAGAGTAGGTACAGCAGAGAGTAGGTACAGCAGAGAGTAGGTACAGCAGAGAGTAGGTACGGCAGAGAGTAGGTACGGCAGAGAGTAGGTACGGCAGAGAGTAGGTACGGCAGAGAGTAGGTACGGCAGAGAGTAGGTACGGCAGAGAGTAGGTACGGCAGAGAGTAGGTACGGCAGAGAGTAGGTACGGCAGAGAGTAGGTACGGCAGAGAGTAGGTACAGCAGAGAGTAGGTACAGCAGAGAGTAGGTACGGCAGAGAGTAGGTACGGCAGAGAGTAGGTACGGCAGAGAGTAGGTACAGCAGAGAGTAGGTACGGCAGAGAGTAGGTACAGCAGAGAGTAGGTACGGCAGAGAGTAGGTACGGCAGAGAGTAGGTACAGCAGAGAGTAGGTACAGCAGAGAGTAGGTACAGCAGAGAGTAGGTACAGCAGAGAGTAGGTACAGCAGAGAGTAGGTACAGCAGAGAGTAGGTACAGCAGAGAGTAGGTACGGCAGAGAGTAGGTACGGCAGAGAGTAGGTACAGCAGAGAGTAGGTAAGGATTAGTGTTTAAAACTGCTGCTATTATTGCTGTTACTGTTGATATTGTTGTTGTTGTTCAGCTGTTGCAGTTGTTGTTGTCGATGTCATTGTCGTTACTGCGTTTTTGTCGTTATTTTTATTGCAGTTTTTGTTGCTATTGTCGTTATTATTGTTAGTGTTGTTGTTTAATACACAATCTAGCAATGATTGAAACACAATAGTTATAGGTAAACATTAGTGTTAATGAGAATTAATTCCTTAAGGTATACTGAAGTAAGTTTTAACCCACTGAATACCACAGACACGTTCAAGAGATGAGACTTAATCCAGTAAGTGGTTAATGTGGAAGTAATTCACAGGATGCCACTGACACTGTCGGCTGAAGAGAAAATTAATTTAGAATGATGTCGCATAAACGGAGTGGAAATCAGAACTGATTCATTGACAGGTGAAGAAGAGTAAATAGAAGTTTGAATTAATCCACAGGATAATAAAAGTGGTTGAATGATTTTGAAAACCGACAAGTTGAAGAATTGAGACACTTGTGCAACACATGGGAATCTTTATTGAAGAAACGTTTCGCCACACAGTGGCTTCATCAGTCCAATACAAAGTAGAAAAGAGGTAAGGAGAGGAGGAGTTCGAGGTAATCAGTCCCTCAACCTGGAATAAAGATTCCCATGTGTTGCACAAGTGTCTCAATTCTTCAGGATAATAAAAAGGAGGTAGAGATAGCTGAAATAAATATAACGACACAAAAACAACGTGCAAGTGGGAATTATTCAATAAGATGTTACAGAGACAGGTTCCACACAGTACTGGCCAGGGTGACTGAAACATCACTTGCTGGACCTCCTTGTTGAGACAGGTTCCACATAGTACTGGCCAGGGTGACTGAAACATCACTCACTGGACCTCCTTGTTGAGACAGGTTCCACATAGTACTGGCCAGGGTGACTGAAGCATCACTTGCTGGACCTCCTTCCTGAGACAGGTTCCACATAGTACTGGCCAGGGTGACTGAAGCATCACTCGCTAACAGCTCACGACGTTTCCTTTTACTACTCTTGGATCCCTTCCTTGCTTCTCCTTTATCAACAACATTAGTTTTCTTCCCCCTTGTAGATTAATCAGGTAATTAAAATTACTGATGGAATATTGCTATAAGAAATGAAAACAAAATTCGTGACGCATGACGAAGGTATCTACCTAGACAAAGAATATTTGCAGTGCATGTTACAATTAACGTAAATAAACATTCAGCAATAATCTTACCTCTTGATATAAACATGTCTTATCACATAGTTCTCAAACTCTATATCATGCTGTCTATCTTCTTTGGAGACGAGTGTGTGGGTGAGAGGACAAGCACAGCAATTATGGTTGAGGGTCTGTGTCCTAGTCAAGTTGAGTCCTTGAGTTAGGTTAAATCCCTCACCCAGGCTAACATCAACTTTCTCGTGAAGAGGAGATACCGAAGTCCTCTCCTCGTGTGACACCACCGGCTCCTTGGACACTTCCCCAGCTGGTAATTGGAAAATATTACATGTCAGAAAGAAGAAAAAATATAATCGGATAACACTGCTGCTGACCTACTGGTCTAAGCTACGTGGGTTCTAACCTAGGCCAGGAAAAGCAACATGAAGAAGAAGAAGAAAAAAAAGAAGAAGAAGAAGAAGTAGAAAGAGAGTGAGTGAGAGAGAGAGAGAGAGAGAGAGAGAGAGAGAGAGAGAGAGAGAGAGAGAGAGAGGAGAGAATACTTACGTCTCTCGAAATCTTCACCACACACTTGGTTGCGGTCATAGAAGGCAGATGACAGTGATGGTCGCAGTACAGTCTTGTACATGACTTCGTAAAGTTCAATCTCCCCGTTAGGAGCTGCTGGAGGCAGCCAGGTGAGTGTCAGGTGCGAGGACGCTGCTACACTTACTTTCATTTCTTCCACCGGTGACGGATCTGCAGTATATATAAATATATATTATATATATATTATATATATGTATATATATATATATATATATATATATATATATATATATATATATATATATATGTCGTGCCGAATAGGCAGAACTTGCGATCTTGGCTTAAATAGCAACGCTCATCTTGCCATATAGGACAAGTGAAAATTTGTGTATGCAATAATTTCGCCAAAATCATTCTGAACCTAACGAAAAAAATATATTTCACTGTGTTTGTTTAGTATTAAATTATTGTAAACAAATCTAAAATATATTTAGTTAGGTTAGGCGAAAATAAATTGTTCTTTTTATAATAAGGTTAGGTAAGTTTTCTAAGATTCTTTTGGTGCAAAATTAAATTTTTTTACATTATCATTAATGAAAAAAATATATCTTTAAATGTATAAGAGAAAATTTTGGAAAGGACTTAATTTTAAATGAGTTCATGGTAATTGGCCAGTTTTACATATTCGGCACGACATATATATATATATATATATATATATATATATATTATATATATATATATATATATATATATATATATATATATATATATATATATATATATATACACATATATATATATGCATATTTTTTTTTCAACAAGTCGGCCGTTTCCCACCGAGGCAGGGTGACCCAAAGAGAAAGAAAATCCCCAAAAAGAAAATACTTTCATCATCATTCAACACTTTCACCTCGCTCATACATAATCACTGGTTTTGCAGAGGTACTCAGAACACAACAGTTTAGAAGTATATACGTATAAAAATACACAATATATCCCTCCAAACTGCTAATATCCCGAACCCCTCCTTCAGACTGCAGGCATTGTACTTCCCATTTAAAGGACTCAAGTCCGGTTATATAAAATAACCGGTTTCCCTGAATCCCTTCACTAAATATTACCCTGCTCACACTCCAACAGATCGTCAGGTCCCAAATACCATTTGTCTCCATTCACTCCTAATATGTTCACGCACGTTTGCTGGAAGTCCAAACCCCTTGCCCACAAAACCTCCTTTAACCCCTCCCTCAACCTTATCGAGGACGATCCCTACCCCGCCTTCCTTCCCCTACAGATTCTTACACTCTCCATGTCATTCAACTTTGATCCATTCTCTCTAAATGACCAAACCACCTCAACAACCCCTCTTCAGCCCTCTGACTAATATTTTTATTAACTCCACACCTTCTCCTAATTTCCACACTCCGAGTTTTCTGCATAATATTTACACCACACATTGCCCTTAGACAGGACATCTCCACTGCCTCCAACCGTCTCCTCGCTGCTGCATTTACCACCCAAGCTTCACATCCATATAAGAGTGTTGGTACTACTATACTTTCATACATTCCCTTCTTTGCCTCCATAGATAACATTTTTTGACTCCACATATACCTCAATGCACCACTCACCTTTTTTCCTTCATCAATTCTATGATTAACCTCATCCTTCATAAATCCATCCGCCGACACGTCAACTCCCAAGTATCTGAAAACATTCACTTCTTCCATACTCCTCCTACCTAATTTGATATTCAATTTTTCTTTATCTAAATCATTTGATACCCTCATCACCTTACTCTTTTCTGTGTTCACTTTCAACTTTCTACCTTTACACACACTCCCAAACTCATCCACTAACCTTTGCAATTTTTCTTTAGAATCTCCCATAAGCACAGTATCATCAACAAAAAGCAACTGTGTCAATTCCTATTTTGTATTTGATTCCCCATAATTTAATCCCACTCCTCTCCCGAACACCCTAGCATTTACTTCTTTTACAACCCAATCTATAAATATATTAAACAACCATGGTGACATTACACATCCCTGTCTAAGACCTACTTTTACCGGGAAGTAGTCTCCCTCTCTTCTACACACCCTAACCTGAGCCTCACTATCCTCATAAAAACTCTTTACAGCATTTAATAACTTACCACCTATTCCATATACTTGCAACATCTGCCATATTGCTCTCCTATCCACTGTATCATATGCCTTTTCTAAATCCATAAATGCAATAAAAACTTCCCTACCTTTATCTAAATACTGTTCACATATATGCTTCAATGTAAACACTTGATCTACACATCCCCTACCCACTCTAAAACCTCCTTGCTCATCCACAATCCTACAATCTGTCTTACCTCTAATTCTTTCAGTTATAAACCTACCATTCACTTTTCTTGGTATACTCAGTAAACTTATTCCTCTATAAATTTTTATAATCTCTTTCATTCCCCTTCCCTTTATATAAAGGGACTATACATGCTCTCCGCCAATCCCTAGGTACCTTCCCCTCTTTCATTCATTTATTAAACAAAAATACCAACCACTCCAACACTATGTCCTCCCCCACACGCACCTCCCCCACACTCACATCCTGTTCTTCACTTCTAAAAGATGGTATACCTCCCTGGCCAGTGCATAAAATTACAGCTTCCCTTTCTTCGTCCACATTTAAAAGTTCCTCAAAATATTCTCGCCATCTACCCAAAACCTCCATCTCCCCATCTACTAACTCCCCTACTCTGTTTTTTACTGACAAATCCATTCGCTCACTAGGCTTTCTTAACTTGTTTAACTCACTCCAAATTTTTTTCTTATTTTCATTAAAATTTCTTGACAGTGCCTCTCCCACTCTATCATCTGCTCTCCTTTTGCACTCTCTCATCACTCTCTTCACCTTTCTTTTACTCCCCATATACTCTACTCTTCTTATAATGCTCCTGCTTTGTAAAAACCTCTCATAAGCTACCTTTTTCTCTTTTATCACAACCTTTACTTCATCATTCCACCAATCACTCCTCTTTCCTCCTGCCCCCACCCTCCTATAACCACAAACTTCTGTCCCACATTCTAATACTGCATTTTTAAAATTATTCCAACCCTCTTCAACCCCCCCACTACTCATACTTGCACCAGTCCACTTTCTGTGAATAGTTGCTTATATCTTATCTGAACTTCCTCCTCCCTTAGTTTATACACTTTCACCTCCCTCTTGCTTGTTGTTGCCATTTTCCTCTTTTCCCTTCTACCTCTTACTCTAACTGAAGCTACAACTAAATAATGATCCGATATATCAGTTGCCCCTCTATAAACGTGTACATCCTGGAGCCTACCCATCAACCTTTTATCCACCAATACATAATCTAACAAACTACTTTCATTACGTGCTACATCATACCTTGTATATTTATATATCCTCTTCTTCATAAAATATGTATTACTTATTACCAAACCTCTTTCTACACATAGCTCAATTAAAGGCTCCCCATTTTCATTTACCCCTGGCACCCCAGATTTACCTACTACTCCCTCCATAACATTTTTGCCCACTTTAGCATTGAAATCCCCAACCACCATTACTCTCACACTTGGTTCAAAACTCCCCACGCATTCACTCAACATTTCCCAAAATCTCTCTCCTCTACACTTCTCTCTTCTCCAGGTGCATATACGCTTTCTATAACTCACTTTTCACATCCAACCTTTATTTTACTCCACATAATCCTTGAATTAATATATCTATAGTCCCTCTTTTCCTGCCTTCAACATTATTGCTACTCCTTCTTTAGCTCTAACTCTATTAGAAACCCCTGACATAATCTCATTTATTCCTCTCCACTGAAACTCTCCCAGCCCCTTCAGCTTTGTTTCACTTAAAGCCAGGACATCCAGCTTCTTCTCATTCATAACATCCACAATCATCTCTTTCTTAACATCTGCACAACATCCACGCACATTCAGACTTCCCACTTTAACAATTTTCTTATTATTATTCTTTTTAGTAATTATTACAGGAAAAGGGGTTACTAGCACATTGTTCCCGGCATTTTAGTTGACTTTTACAACACGCATGACTTACAGAGGAAACATTCTTATTCCACTTCCCCATGGATATAAAAGGAAAAGTAATAAGACCAAGAACTATTAAGATAAAATCAAAGACAACTCAGATGAGTGAGTATAAATAAACGTGTACATGTATGTGTAGTGTGACCTAAGTGTAAGTAGAAGTAGCAAGACGTACCTGCAATCTTGCATATTTATGAGACAGACAAAAGACACCAGCAATCCTACCATCATGTAAAACAATTACAGGCTTTCGTTTTATACTCACTTGGCAGGACGGTAGTACCTCCCTGGGTGGTTGCTGTCTACCAACCTACTACCTACATATATATAGACATATATAGACAAGGATGTGTGATGTCACCGTGGTTGTTTAATATATTTATAGATGGGGTTGTAAGAGAAGTAAATGCGAGGGTCTTGGCAAGAGGCGTGGAGATAAAAGATAAAGAATCACACACAAAGTGGGAGTTGTCACAGCTGCTCTTTGCTGATGACACTGTGCTCTTGGGAGATTCTGAAGAGAAGTTGCAGAGATTGGTGGATGAATTTGGTAGGGTGTGCAAAAGAAGAAAATTAAAGGTGAATACAGGAAAGAGTAAGGTTTTTGAGGATAACAAAAAGATTAGGTGATGAAAGATTGAATATCAGATTGGAGGGAGAGAGTATGGAGGAGGTGAATGTATTCAGATATTTGGGAGTGGACGTGTCAGCGGATGGGTCTATGAAAGATGAGGTGAATCATAGAATTGATGAGGGGAAAAGAGTGAGTGGTGCACTTAGGAGTCTGTGGAGACAAAGAACTTTGTCCTTGGAGGCAAAGAGGGGAATGTATGAGAGTATAGTTTTACAACGCTCTTATATGCGTGTGAAGCATGGGTGATGAATGTTGCAGCGAGGAGAAGGCTGGAGGCAGTGGAGATGTCATGTCTGAGGGCAATGTGTGATGGGAATATAATGCAGAGAATTCGTAGTTTGGAAGTTAGGAGGAGGTATGGGATTACCAAAACTGTTGTCCAGAGGGCTGAGGAAGGGTTGTTGAGGTGGTTCGGACATGTAGAGAGAATGGAGCGAAACAGAATGACTTCAAGAGTGTATCAGTCTGTAGTGGAAGGAAGGCGGGGTAGG